AAAATCATGTTCTTTTGTAAATATTAATTAATATTAATTATTACTTTATATTCTTCAATTAAAAAAAAAATAGAACAAAGGAAAAAATTGCTTTATGATTCAATTTGCCATGAAGATTTAAACATTAGAAGTGATTTACTTGGATTAATATGTGAATCAAAAAAGGCAATAATAGAAATTACTGCACAAGAATTGGAATTATTGAAATCATTTTTAAAAATAAATATTAATTCCACTTCACCAGAGTTTAGACAAAAATTATATGGAAATTTAAATAAATTATTTAACAGATTGGAGATCAATACAAACGGATTATTAAGAGATTATTTATCCAGGAAGAAATTTATTGAAAAAAATCGTCATCTAAATCAAAAAAAGGAGTTAGAGAATGTTGTGATGATTGAATTGGATGAAATTAAAAAGAAATTCGATAAATATGAGAGATTTTTGAATTGGTTGGTTGAATTGTTGATGGCTTCGTTGTATCCTGGAGCATCATTTCAAAGAGTTTCTACCAGTTTAAATATTTTTAAATTATTATTAAATAAAAATTTTTTTTGTGAAAAATCAAAGTCATCAAAATCATCGTTAATTGTAAATATAAATATTAAAACAATAAGAAATACTAAATTATTATTATACTGTCTGACAAATTCATTTAATGAAATTCGTAGCTTGGCTTATGAGATATTGAGAGAATTTGTTTCACCGTTGCCCGGAATTGTCAATAATCAAGAAGAAGCATTAACAATAAAATATATATTGAAATGGGCTTTTGATCGTATGATAAGTGCAAGGGCTGTGGAAAGTGATAGTGGTGCAATGATTTTTCGACTGGTATTTAGGAAATATGTTATAGAACTAGGTCATATTATTGATTTTGAAAAGGAAGATATTTTAATTGAAGAAAGCATTGTTTTTGAAAAAGAAGTTTGCGAATATTCTTTGGTTTCATCTAGTATGTAATTAATTTTATTATTATTTTAATATGATAATTTTTAAATATTTAATAATCGATTTTTAACCTTGTTATATTGTAAATATATAGTCAATTTTATTCAAAAAATTTTAAGAATATTAAAGACACAAATTAACATCGCATCAAATAATCTTTTATTAGCATCAAAAAAATATCCAATGTATGGAACATTAATTGGACTTCAATATCTATTTTTAGAAATTAATTATAATTCAGATTTTGTAAAAAAAAATATTTTAGAATGGAGAGCTTTACATAAAGATGTTTTACAATTGATTGATCATGTGTGTCAAATAGTTTTAGAAATTTTATCTAGCCCATCACCTGAAGGTAATTTGCCTGAAGGCGTTGATGATGGAGGAACATTGGATATGAATGATGATGATATAACGGTTGATTATGATGAATTCTATGAAAATGGAGGAGGAAGAGGAGAAGAAATGAGTGATGGTAATGATAATATATTTGGGCCCAAACATCAAATTATATTGAGTTGTTGTTGGAGAACTGTTAAAGAAGCATGTACTTTACTTGCAATAATCTTATCAAGAACCCCCGCTTCACTATATTTGAATAGTAATAATAACGGAGGAGATAACGATGATAATGCTGATAATAGTAATAATGTAATTTACAAATTAAATATTAAGTATATATTAACTATTTAATTGATTGATTGATTTTTTTAAATTTATATATATAGTATGCATTAGTTGATTATGAACAAGTTCGTAAAGGTGGAGAATTATTTAAGAATTTATTAATTTCTATAAGACATCGTGGTGCATTTTCAGCAATATATCCCGAATTTTTAAAAGTTTGCACCAGATTATTATCATCAAACCAATCAGATTTTTTTGGTTTACCAAAAATTTGGTTGGAGGTAAATTTTTGAATAAAAAAAAATTTTATATGTGAAATTATCTATTAAATAATAATAATAAACTATTTTTTTTCCTCTTTTTAAAGGAAAATATAAATGCCATAAAGACAAATTCGATTTCAATAACAAGAAGAAGTGCAGGATTACCTTATTATATATTGGCAATAGTTTACAGTGAGTCGTCATCATCGAATCGTAGAATGTTATTACCTTGGGTGATGAAAACTTTATTTGAAATTGGATTTAAAGAGTTATCTGATGAAGATGCTGGTGCTAGTGATGGTTATGATTATGATAATAATAATAATGATGATGATGATGATGTTTTTGATAATAAAGGTAAATAGAATGTAATCTTTTGTTTAATTTTTGTGAAATTTATTAAATTTATTAATTATTCCTATCAATAACAATAAAGTAATTAAAGAAAATTCGAAAAAGAATCCTCAAACAAATATAAAATGGATTTAATCATAGATTTGTTCTAATTATTCACTTTCTCAACATCAGAAAATATTTAATTAATCGCTAAACTTCTTCTTTGGCTGTTTTGATCAAAATACTTAAAAGCATTTAACAGTTTATCTTCTAATAATAATATTTGAACTCAAGCTATCAAAGAATGCAATGAAATCAATGAATTTAAAGAAATTCAGCTATTAATAGTGCTTATATTCCATAAATACATATACCATATTGTTTTTTAAGTTGGCAGTTTAAAATTTCAAGCTAAAAGGAACCTACATCTTTCAAAAAAAAAAAAAATCCAAGCATTTAGGATCTTGAAATTACAAAAGACAATTGTGTTATATATATATGTTTACGCAGGCTGTTGCCTCCTCCCTCTGAGAGGTTTTTAATTTCGTGACTACAAAGGATAAGCTAGGCCTAACCCTTGTGGAAATGATTGGATGTAACTACTTGTTTAAAGAATGCTATTTTTATTTTTGCTAATTACAATAATTTTAATTAAAATGATGTAAATAATTATATCATTGATCTTCAAAGCATTCATCTTCTTGATTCCATTTTATTGAATCAAGATCAACCCCCATATTTAAAAGCATAAATGTCATAGAATCTTTATCAACTTTATCAACATCTTGAATATCATCATTATTATTACTATCCTCATTATCTGAATCATTATTTTTATTATTGTTGTTTATATTACAACTATCATGATTATTATTATTATCCCAACCCCAATTCCCATATGAATAAGAAAAACCTGAATATTCAAGGAATGAACTTCTTTTAGGCATTTTGGAGTGTAACAATTCTGCTGCTTCTTGGCTTGCACTTCTCCATTTTTTAATTAATTCATCAATGGTATTTTTTTCATCCTGAAAATATATTTCTTTAATAAAATTATATATCTATCATATTTAAGAATGCATCAATTAAATACCTTTTCTTCATAACTCATTGCCAGTTGGATTTTTTGTATATTATTTTTCATATTTATAATATCTTTTTCCAAATTATATTGTTGATCCATTAAAATCTTAAGCTCTGGATGCTTACGTTCAATATTTATAGATGATTTTAAACCATTAAAGCTACCACCACTTTTATATTTAAGATTAGTTTTATTATTAGATTTCAATAGAATAGTTTTAGATTTTGCGTTTTTTATTATAGATGAAATAGATTGATGTTGTTGTTGGCCTGATGATCGCTTTTTTGGTAAAGGTTCTTCTGAATTATTTGTTGATGAAAACTATCATGAGATTATATACATGTAAAAAAGTGTGTGTATGTTCGTTTAATTAAAAAAACTTAACAAAAAATTGATGAAAATGTTTAACTACAGTTTGATCCTTTTGATTGGACAAAAGTGTTTTATTTAGAAGTTGATTTTTTATCCAATATATTGAAATTTCAGAACTTTTATTATCAGTAAAAGTTGTCATTGAATGTTTTTTTCATTTTTTAATCTTTGAATGATTTCTTCAAGATCGTTAATCCTGAATTCCATTCTTTCTTTGTATGAGTTATAATTGGATTTTAACATACTTAAGTTTAATGCACAAGATCCAAATAAACACCAGGCGAAATATTTGTAAATAAATTTTGAATATTTTTTAAATTTTGATCCACTATCATTATTAAAATTATCATCATTCAAAGAAATTTGATGGGTTGTGGAATAAAAATGTCTTAAAAATCGATCATTTTTTGTTCTAAAATTTTTAAATAAATAATATCTATATAACGACAAGGATGATGACGACAACATTTCACTTGAATATTTATTAATGGGCATCCTCAGAAAAATTTGATTTGATTAAGATTTGTATTTGATTTGACTAATTTGTCCTCATAAATTTGTCGATCAAAATTTATTTAATCTTAGGATTTGATTTAGTAAGATTTACCCAGTGTTGAAAATTCGGTGTGGGGAATGCGGGGGTGTAACATTACACACCAATCAAGTTTTTAATTTTTGGAGATAGTTTCTAAATTTGTACTGGTTACACAACTAAATTACAACACTGGATTTACCAATCAAAATTTTAAATTTTTGTGGGAGAAAAAAAAATTTTTTTAAAAATAACGCGTTTTTTTGATAATTTGAATTCAAGAATTACTAGAAGTACTTTTCAGTATTTGAGTGAAGAATTTATTCCTGTTTGCAAAGAAAAAACAATAATAATAGTGATAATAATATTATTACTAAAAAAAAAAATGAATATTGATAGCATTTTGGAAACAAATACACTGGTATACCAATGATTGCATTTATTACCTTTTTTGTTTTTTTTTAGCTTCATGGAGTACTATTATTTATTCTTCCTCATCTGAGGAGAGGAGGGAGGAGGAAGAGGAATCATTTATTTCAGAACGTTTGGGAAGCAAAGAAATGCATAATTAAAAGTAATTTCCATTTCAGATATTTTCAAGGTTGTACAAATAGAAAATTTAATTACTGAATCTAATCAAATTTTAATTTCTGAGGACGCCCAATATGAAATTTGTTATTGTTATTGTTCCACTAAAAAATAAAAACACGGGGACAAAATAAATAAAATGTAACATGTTTTTTTAAAAAATTTTCTAAAATGGCAGTGTCTTTTACTCTTTTAGCATTCATCCTATACTTTTTTATTGGGATAGTTTATGCAGAATTTTCTCCTATTTCTTATCTCAGTGCTGAATTATGTGCTGCTGGTGCCATTGGCTCAAAAGTCATAACGAAAAATGATTTAGAATACAATGATGCTAGAATGGGAGAACGAATTAGGTTTTTTTCAGTTAAAATTTTATTTTTTTAATGTTAGATCATTGGCTCAGATAGCAATAAATTCTTTTATATATATGTTAAATGTCAAATTCAAATTTTAACTTAAATAGGAAACAAAGATATCCTTTGGTCATTGCATATCCAATGAATTCAACCCAAGTTCAGAGTTTAGTATTATGCGCAGTTTTTTGGAAGAAAACTCCTTGTGTAAGAAATGGTGGTCACAGGTGATAAATATTCTTTGTTTATTTGCGATGAACGACTACAAGTATATGAATAAATTTATTAATTTTTATTTAATCATAGCAATGAAGGGTATTCATCGATTGATGATTCGATTGTCATTGATCTCAAATATATGAACAATGTTGAATATGATCCCACTTCAGGAATAGCTACAGTTCAAGGCGGAATAAGACTTGGACCATTATATCTAGAACTTGATAAATATCAACAAACTATTATATCAGCCAATGGACCAACAGTTGGTTTATCAGGTTCCATTGCTTCAGGAGGATTTGGAATACAGTCTCGTAAATACGGTGTTGCTGGTGACTTTGTCGTTGAAGCAGAAGTAATTTTAGCAAATGGAACGATTGTTACAGCAAGTGATTCATCAAATCCAGATTTATTCTGGGCATTAAGAGGTGGTGGTGGTGGTACATTTGGAATTGTTACTCAATGGAAATTAAAAACCATTCAAGCATGGGTAGAGGCTACCAATTTTAATACCGATTTTAATATCGTAGATTTTAATATAGCTCTCAAGTTGTTTTCTAACTGGGCTTATAATGCAAATTTTAGTTTATCCACTTTTTTATATTTTTCAAATAAGGAACTTAGGGTAATTGGAACCGGAATATGTAACAAAGATTTAATGCACAAATGGCTTTTTGAAACTGAATTATTTAAAATTGTAGGTGCCAAGACACATAAGCAAACCTGCAATCATTTGCAATCTAGAGCATATTTTTTGGATAATGAAAATATTAGAGAAAAACTTTGCACCCAAAGAATTAATTTATTAAATATTGGTATAGACCCACTTGGTCCTAACGACAATATTACAATTTCAACACCAACTCTTGTAACCGAAGGAATTATCAATACTATCCCACCAGGGTTTAAACAAAATAGAGAATTGGTAAAAACCAAATCATTTTTTTTTAATGCTAGTGCCTTTAGTGATGCTAATATTGCTACACTGAATAATCTTCGGACTACCATGCCAGATGGCGCATATGCAGAATTAACATCGTATGGTGGCTATCTTGAAACATTGCCCACAAATCTTACAGCATTTAGTCACAGAACTGGTACAGCATACCATATATTACTTAATGTCCCTTTGACTGGAAGTGAAACAGATGTTAATGCAAAATTAGATTATGTCAAACTATGGGAAAGTACTGTTGGGCCAATATCAAATGGTCATAGTTATCAGGTAATTATTAACAAATAAGTAAACAAACAAACAAGTAAACAAACAAACAAATAATAAATAAACAATAATATAATAAAAAATTTATTTAAAAATCATAATAATATTTATTATAGGGATATTCTGATGAAGATTTAGGAGATCAATTTGGTGAAAAATATTTTGGAAACAACTATAAAAAACTAAAAGAAATCAAATCATCCTATGATCCAACAAATCTTTTTGTTTCCAGTCAATCAATACCGCCAAATCCAACCACGCCAAATATACCACCATCTTTGCCTAATATCAATCAATGTCCACTTGGATTTTTTGGTGGCAATGATCCACCAGGTAGACGCCAAAGTAGTAGTAGTAGTAGTAGTAAATTTTATTGTTGTATTAATATGAGTAAATTATCAATTCTATTTGTTATTATTGTAATTATATGGTAAAAATTCTACAGACATACATATATATATAATAATATTAGAGAGAAGTTACAAATTTTTTTTTACTATATATAATAATTTCCAAAAAGATAAACAAATACATGGATGTTATATTATAAGGTTTTTTTTTTTTTTTAAGAACATGCAAATTTTTTAGCATTTACGGATATGCATTGGGTTCACTGATAACATTTGTATTTGTATTAATGCGAATTAAAAAAATGATAGAATATAAAAATTATATAGCAAATTTGTATTCCAAAAAAAAATAATTAAACCTATGATTCAGTACAAATCCCACGTAGACAACCTACAATAAGGTGTCTCGGGTGTAAGCCCCAACGTCGCGAACGATTCTCGTCGTGCTTCTTTAAAAATACATCACGGGTTCCGTCTACTGCTGAAAATTGAGTGCTTGGTTATCAGCCTTAATTTCAAGTAATACAAGTAGAATTCGCACCATGATGATTAAACGGTAAGGTGAAATTCATGATTTATTTTTTTCTGGTATTTTCTCACTTGATATAATACCATCAAGAAATGGGAATGCGCCTCTTTTTCTCTTGACGATGGATCAACAATTGCAATGTTTGGTTCGCAAGTTCATTTAATGCCGCATCTCCAATACAACGAGGAGTATCAAGAACCAATTTGACGTTAGGATAATTAGATGTAAAATTTTCAAATCTAATGATATAATTTGTTCGTAAATGTGCTTTAGATTTGTTTTCCTAAGTAGTGCAAAACAAAAAATAGAATCTGTCTACGCATAATCTTTGTAACAAGAATTACACAATTATTGTCATTGACATGGTCAACAATCGGGGAAATTTTAAAGTAAACATTTACTTGGCGCCATGTTATAAAAAAAGATTACGATGGTTCAAAAAAGAAATGATATCTGATGAACCTGTCGAACACAAAGAGACCAATAAACAAGTTGAACCTGTCAATAAATGCGCATTGCAACTCAAGTACGATATCAAAAAATATTAAAACTCCGAAATTGAGTTGAAAAAACCGCAATAAAATCGGGATGCCATCTTTCAAAAAAGTGTAAAAGAAACTTTGAGAGAGAGGGGTCGCGCGTCATAATAAACTTGATCCCTGCGATTGAATTACGCCATCGAAAATACTAAAGCCTCGACATGAAACAGAATTAAATGAAGCTAAAGCATTTTCATCCGAACAAAAGGGTAACATTGACAGAGTATCAAAGCATGATCACAAGTGAATGCGGTATGAACATTACAACTTTACTCTAAAATGTATTATTGTTGGCAGCTTCAATAGTCCAATCCTCCGCTGGTAGAAAAAAATGTAGTTCACAAAGATTTCACATAGTGAAGACATCGAGTATAACAGCCGCTTTTTACAATATTTTTACAACTGTTTTACAAATACTAGTGAAATATTAAAAACGGTGTTATACTCGATGTCTTCACTATGTGAAATCTTTGTGAATTACATTTTTTTTTACCAGTTCTCTCCCCAAAATATTTATGGTTCATCAAAAAAAAGGTTATCAAGAAAATTATATGCAAAAAGTTTAGTAATAATACCACAAATTTCCTTTATAATATTACTCTTTTATTAAGGGACGCCTTGATAAAATTATTTATTTTTACTTGAGTTTTCTCAAATATTTACACAGTTTAACTTGCTGTGTGATCTCGTTAACCCTAATATTAACCTGCTTAGTGATCTCGTTGATATTAGTAAATATTGACTGGGAGTTAAAGATTCATAGAGGAATCTCGTTAACTCATATCCTTCGTGGATGATTTCTTAAGGGAGCTAGCCTGCTAAGTGATCTCGCTAGTTACTTTATTTATCGGGCACATGTCACTTGTAACCAAAAGGGGTTACAATTTTACAGGTTTGATTGTATTTTTTTTAATTACACAAAAATCACGTGAATCCATTTTTGGAGAAAAAATTGATTTGAAAATTTGGACACGTCCAATTATTTAAATTATTTTACTACTAAATCAGTTTGTAAACATCAATAATATTAGTCAAGTGTAAAAACCTTTATTGCCACAATGTCCAAAGAAATCCATGAATACTTCAGTCGTAAATCATCAGATTGGAGAATAATTGATTTTTTGAACGAAAATGACATTGAACCTTTCGAAAAAAAATAGATGCATACATCAAGTCTCTTAATAATATCATTGCCTTGGAGAAAGGGAAAAGATGCGAAAGAGCACTTACGCTTCTTGAGAAGTATAAGGAGAACCTTTCCTTGGATAACTACATGATTATTTTTCCTTTGGTTAAAAATATAGGTGGCGTGGTGGGGACCTTCTTGGTTCTTTATCATTCAAGACTTTTTGTTGAGCCACGAAACCAATGTAGGGGCACAAGTGACCTTCTCGGTTGTTTGATGTTCAAGGCTTCTTGCCGACCCAGAATTGGTCCTATCAGGGCACAGGTGACCTTCTTGGTTGTCTGATGTTTAAGGCTTCTTGCCGACTTGATGGGGTAGAAATGAAAAATCAGAACATGTGATTAAAAATGAATTTTACTAATTCACTTAGTTTTACGTCTGGGGTTCTAAACCAGATTTTTTTCTTGTTCGAAACTAGGAAAGGAATCGTACATCTCGCAACGAAACTTTAATTAACTTTTACGGGGACTACGAGAATAATGGAACAATTTCAACTGGGGATTATGCAACAAATATACAACACATTAAACGCAAGAGTAGCACCTTAGAAATCGAAGAAAAAAACAGGTGAGAGCATAGTGATTAACTTCAAGGTCATTGTTGCATATGCTGATCTAATTTATGACTTTAGGGACGATCTCTTAGGCAGAAGAAAGTAGAGTCTTATGCTGAAAGTACAATAAGTTCAACGGAAACAAAAACAGATTTCGATTCTGATTATATGAAAACACACAAAAAGGCAAGTAATTAATACCAACATATTTTTGTTTCTTTGAAACTTAATTATTGACATTCTTTTTTTTTTACAATCTACCAAATCTACAAATGTCAAAATCAAGGATGGCGTTCAAGAAAATTTGAATGAATGCAAGTATGATATGGGAACGATGGAATCCAATGATGATGATGATGATGATGATGTAAGTTTACATTAGATGGTAAAAGATTTTTTATGAGAATTATACCTGAACGATGTTTGTTTTCCATTAGTTTCACATGTTTTCTTCCAACCCATATAACGAAACTGTGTTAACCACTCCACAAAAACCTGTCCTTGGAGAACGTTCTATACAATATTTGGTCAAACATATTTCAGTAAATGTTAACAAGCAATGTGTGATAGTGAAAGCTGATCAGGTTGATGCAATTCCAAAAGAAGTTCGTAGTTGGCTTATAAATGTACTATCGGTAAGTAAATATAAACCTCTTTCAGATGTTACGTCAAATCTATATTAAAAAATTTGTTTATTAGTCAGAAAAGAATACATTTGAGAATGCTATTACGGTTTCATTGAATCCCGAAAATTTGTTTCAGAAAGTCTGCAAAATTATTCTTTATGACTTGTGAGTATATTATTAGGATTCTACGTGTCATTTTCGTCACAACTGACTAATTCACCCTGTTTGAAAAATAGTTTCTTCATGACTAGTAAAGGTCCTTTGGATCGTTATATTGAGGAAAGGAAATATATCGTGGATAAAATAGCTCCTTTATTTAAGGCAATTCAATCTGTTTACCGAGAATACACATTTGACTGGATTGAAGTGTAGGCTAACTGTATCAAGGATGCAAAAATGTTGTTTCCAGAATTTGATTTGACATTAAATAAAGTAGATGGAATTGGTTTCAAGGGTTGCAAGCAAAAAAGAAATAATATTCATCAAAGTGTCTGGAGGACCGGAGAATGCTGTTATAAATCATGTCAGAGAAGATACTGAAAAGCTCATAAAGGAAGCTATGTTTGGTTTGGTCTCCTTGTTTAGAAACTTTTTAGATAAAAATGCAAGAAATATATGTACCTACATGGTGCAATGCATCGGTAATGTACTTATTGTATTGTGTCGGCTTCTTTTGAATGTTATTAACCTTATTCTGGTTATTTTATGTTAGGTGATCGAATTACACTAAGTGAACTTCGTCTTAATAAGAAACATTTTTATAAAATTTTGCAGATTAAGTCAGCAATGATACCATTCTCTTTTGAAGAAGACGAAAATTTCATGGAAATCTTTGAACTACTATATGCTTTGATGGTGTGTATTTTCTATGTATGTCATTAGATCTTCAGCCTGACTTTTATATTTTTATTCTCAGAATGGACTCAAAATCAAACAAGTGAGTTAAAGAAGTTAATGTTTTCTGATTCTATTAGTGGTATGCCAACAATTCGGGATTGGATCTGGCTCCCAAACACTATTTCAATGTGGGAAGCCACAGAAATAATTTATGAAGACTTGAACTGTTAGTCTGTTTTATTCTATGAACTTTAACAAAAACTATTTTAGTAATATATATGAAAAATTCGATGCCGATCATCAAAATTTACTATGTTTTTGCAGTAGAAATAAATTTTTGTGACATGTCCTACGACTGATATGTAAACTCGATAAGTTGGCCAAAATTTTCACCCCACTTTCTTAATATTTAAGTAATTTAATTCGATAAGTCGGTCATATGAGCTCACCACCACATGACCGACTTATCGAGTTTACATATTATTATGTAATATGAAAAATTTGCGTGTAACACGTCACTTTGGGGAGGGGGGGTAACATAGTAAATTTGTTAAGCTTGTGCAACTTTGAGGCTTAATTCCTCCATAACAACATGGCATATCAACAAATGAAGATGTAACTTTGTAAAGAAAGGTTTTAGCTTCAAAATTACATCTTGTTTTTTGGTCATGCATTTTAATTTTTGGAGGAGTTAAAGAATCTGCAAGACCAATGAAAGTTGTAGGGACTAGGTGTCCTGCACTGTAGTAGTAGTGGGTTACATTTGACCCCTGTAGTTACGCAATGTAATCAGTATTATTTGGAGAAAGATTAAATTATGATGTAAATATATAAATCTTTTTATTTTGTTAATATTATTATTAATTTAATATAGACAAGAATATAGATCAGACAGTGTGAATATAGTATGAGAAAAACATACATCACAATAAATAGATGTTCAGTGTTTTTGTTTCTTTTATCATCATATCTATTTGTCTTATTAACTCAATAGTAAATAAAATCAACATCCAAATTATATATAATTATATAAATTATAAAATCATTATATTCTGTTTTGTCCTGATTTTATTTATTTAATAACAAATAAATTCATCTTAATTTTAATTAATAATTTAAGCAACTAATGCACTTGCAGTTGAAGATTCACTATTAAAAAAAAAATTGGTTAGAAAATGAGTTAAGGTCTAACATAATCAATCAATTATCAAAACAAAATAAGAGCCAAAATAAATTATTATCAATAAAATCATAAGGATACTATTTCCAATTTGGAGGAAGTTGACCAGCAAGTTTATAATATCTGGAGAGACGGTGAATCCTTGATTCAATAAGAATTAAACGAAATTTGGCATCTTTGTCCTTACGATTACGTTCTAAATGTTTACGAACTGCAACTGCCTTTTTAATCAAATGATATAAATCCTCTGGAATTTCTGGTGCCAATCCTACATATTATTAATAATAATAGTAACATTACATATACATATATACATATAAAAATTATAAATAGCCAAATCATCTCAATATTAATTAATTACCAACCATTTGATTTTAAGATACGAAGTATTTTATTTCCTGTAACATTTTTAACTTGAGCAATACCATGAGAGTCACGAAGTACAACACCAATTTGTGAAGGTGTCATGCCCTTTTTTGCAAGTTTAAAAATTTGTTCACACACATCATCGGGAGTAGTTTTCAACCAAGAAGGCGGTGTACGACGATATGGTAAAGCTGAACTAGCTATACCTTTACCAGGTGCATGCATACGACCCATTTTGATTTATTTATTTTTATTTATTATTTTTTGGATGCAGAAAAAAAAATTTTTTTTACTAATTTTGTTAGGAAAGATCGACATTTCACAATGTTTCGACTAAATGTGTGGCAATAAAATTTACATATTAATATTAATATGCTAGAAAATAGTAAGCAAGGAAATATAAAGCAATTGAAAGCCATAAAGTAACTTTAATTAAAAATTTTGGAAATTTGTTGTATAAACACCATATAAACAAGTGATAAAGCAAATCCGATTAACGCGCTACAAACAATTGGTTTTAATATTTTTTGTATTAGTATTAAGAGTCCAGAAGTTTCAATAGTTCTTGTATCTGCCAACTCTTTCTAACCGAAACAACGTAAGCACCAAAGTGTATTAAAAATAATATTGTAGCTCATAAATCTGTCATATATGTTTCGTTTAATCAACAATAATGAAATGATGCTTACCTTGATATTTTGGTTTTGTATTCCATTTTTCACCCGCCGAACTTTGTTTTACAGGATGACTTTCATAGTTTTGATAATAAGAATTGTTTACTGGCATCACTTTTGTAATAACTATTAGATTCTGGAGGTGGCGGTGGCGGATATTGTGTTGGGTATTCCGGAGGTGGAGGTTGAGGATGTTCGTAATTTGAGTAAGCTTTATAACTCATTTATAGTTGTTTTGTATTTCTTTTGTTTAGGAAGATGATTTGAGAAAAAAAAATATCGAGAATGAAGGTTTATATCAATATATGGAAAATGTAAACATTTATACAATAAAGAAAAAAGAAATTTCCTATTTGTCATGTCATGATTTGTGCGAAATAGTATTACTGTCGATTATTTGTCCACGTTCAGATTCAATTTTAGCTTAAAATGCTATTAATTTTTTAAAAAAGTAAACAACAAAAATGTAAAAATATATGTCGTCTTGTGCCAGAACTCAAGTTATTATTTGCCAGAACTTCGGGTGTGCTATTATGTAAGTTTTGGGCAATTGATAGGCTGTAATTTTTTTTTTTTTTGCGTACATAATTTTGAAACTTTTGTCCGTAAAGCATATGCATATTTTCCCATATATCGATCGATGTATTCACTCATCTTCGTTTAAACCCTTATAGTCGATTACAGAATATGATAGAAGAGTCAATGGCTAATATTTCATATCATTCATACAATAACTGCGCGAAAAATGAATGAATTGCCTTTTTACATAGTATTAAAAATCTCATATAAATCGTATAATTACTATAACTCATTAAATCAATATCCCTACTATCTTTGATAAAAAACTAAATCGCAAAACTCGTTAATATTAGATCAGGATATGATATGAAGTATATAACTCCAATTATTGTGGTTTTGCTGGCAGTATTGATATAATGATTTTTGCCGTTATTATTAAAAATCTTTATGGTGTGAACATCAACTCACCATGCAGAAAAGGTCAGTAACTTGCTGCATCAGGCAACGTGTTTGCGTAATAGTATACGACTAACATTTCTATTCGCTATGGAAATTTTTTAAAAGTATATATAACTTCAAATTGATATATTGCAATTTCAAAAATTTTTTAATAGTATGGTATCAAAATTAATATCGATTTAAATTTTTATTATTAATATTAAATCAATATATATAAATATATATAATTGTTATCAATCATCTTTTTTCATTCCATTGATTATTTCACAGCAACTTTAATCCCTTTGGTCTTCACACTGTCATCCAATTAATGAATATTAAAAACGACTAATATCTCTTCCAAATATTATTGTTATTAACCTAAAAATTATGTTTATCAACCAAAATAATTAAATTTTTTAAACAAAAAAAAAAAGGAATGAAGTTTTATTTTTGCTACTTACCAATACATGGGACTATTTTTAACGGCAGGGAAAATGATGATAATAATAAAAAATAAATTTAGTTGCACAATTTGTGTATTATTAAATTTTTTTGATTAATAATACTACTACTACTACTTACATTAACATTTTATTTCGTAAAGAAACCGTCATTGTAAGATATGAAGATCTCCAAAAAATCCATGCAAGAAAACCACTTTCTTTAATTTGTTTAGATACAGTTGTCATATCAACAAGAGCTATTTTATTTTTATTTTTTTAATGGTAATGAAAAAATGAGAGTTTCTTTTAATATATTCTAATCAATACTTTCAAATTCCAATTTTACACAAATCTTGGATTACCTTCTTTTTTACCAATATATGCCATACTGCCAAAATTTGTAAATTTAAAAGGTTTAACTCCAATAAGTGATCCACTATTTTTGGCAACTTGTGTTAAAGCTATATTATTATTAAGAAAAAAATAATAATTAAAACGATTGAAACTATGCATTGAATCACATATACACATTTAACATTAGTAAAAAATTTACTTTTTCGTAAATAAAGAGCCTTTTGATTCGCAACTTGAGCAGTTGCAGGTAAATCATAATCTTTAATGGATGCACAATCACCGAGAGCAAAACTAAAAAAGTGAGTGAGCGAGCAAGTGAGCAAGTGAGCAAATGAGTAAATGATTAAATAAAAGAATACAAAAAAATCGAATATAGATGAATTACACGTTATCAAATGGATAGCTGGATTCTTTATCCAATACCCTTAAAAATTCATCAGTTAATAACCGTTTTGCCGAACCATCTTTCATCACCTGATCAGACATTGATCGTGTCAAAGGATTTTCAGTGATTCCTGTTTTTATTTATATAAATTACCAACCAACCAATTATCACTAATGATCATTTATCACCATCAATTATGTCGTCACCACCAATCAAATCCCTTATCAATATTACTAACCGGTAGCCCAGACTAACATTCCATAAGGAACTTCGCCATCTTCTTTTATGACCATATGACGTTCTTTAACTTCCAATACGCTACGACCGGTTCTAATTTTTATACCTTTTCTCGTAAACTTTTTTGTCGCATAGTCTCTAAGCGATTGATCAAAGGATCCAAGGATCTGTGGTGCAACATCGTAGACTGTCATTGTGACTGAATTTATTAGATCGGGATAAAGTCTTGCCATATCTTCTGTGATGAAATCGTGCAACTCGGCACTGAATTCTATACCGGTAGGACCACCACCAACAATGGCAAAATGTAATAAACCCAAAGCCTCCTTTTCATTAACCATTGGTTGACTTGCGTGTTCGAAGCATTCGATGACACGTTGACGTATTCTACGAGCATCGGACACATCTTTTAAGAATAAGGCGTATTCGCCGACACCAGGTATACCAAATGTATTTGAATTTGCACCAACAGCTATTATCAATGTGTCATATTCAAGCTTGAATTTTTCTGTGTTACGTTCAAGATTTGAAGTACAGTAAAGTATTTGTTCCTTTAAATCTAAAATAGTTGTTTTGTTTTGTTTAATATATAATATATATTTGTATGTGTATTTTTTTTTTTTTAAAAAAATAAAAACTGAATATTTAATTAATTATTAACATACCAACACGGTCAGCGTAAGCTTGATAATATTGTACCTTGGGTGAATATCTTCTTATAGGTTCCATTATGCATCTAAATTCCAAAGTTCCAACCGATGATGAAGCAAGTAATGGTGTGCTGTATATGTGTGTTTGTGTATTTATGAATAATGTAAATTATATAGTTCATAAAATCAAATGAAGATAAAAAATTTACTTACAAAACAAAATAATTTCTAAAATTTAATTTATAAATAAAATACAAATTAGTAATTAAGGACGGGGAATTGGAATTTTTTTTATGTATTACCTTGGAGAAATAACTATTACTTCGTGATGCTTCGTATCTATATCTCTGAGTAATTTATATCCTATAACAACAATGGATAATATAAAAATTTTAGAAAGTAAAGATATCAAAAGGAAATTAAGAAAACATTTTTACCTGCCCATCCCGATCCTTTAAAAATTAAAGAATTTTGTGATAAATACCAAAAATTTTAAAGAAATTAAAGATTGATTTCTTTATATGTATGTATATATATAACCTTACCAAGAATAACTAAGCGACCTAATAAGAAATCACAAACAAATAAATGAACAAAGGAACATATTAAATTCTCGATTAAAATTTCTCTATTTTTGTTTATTTTTTACCTTGAGTTTTCCCCAAAGAAGTGATATATTTTTTATCAATTGCATGATCATTTATAATAAATTTATTTGATGGAAAAATCAAATCATCATATTTTTTATTACGATTATCATTAGTTTTCAAGTGAAATTTACGATTATGGAAAATCGATGAAAAAATTGAATTTACAATTAGTTTTTGTTGTTGGGAAGTTGGGAAATTTTTATTATTTTTTTGAACCACTAAAATTATAAAATAGATTCGTTTTAGCTCTTGATTCAATTAATTATAAACAATGATCACACTTACAAAAATAATTTATTGCTTTAACTGATTTCATTTTTTCTTTTATTTTATTTTTTTTTTTAGAAAATATTATTTTGCATTCCTGATTAAATTTAAATGATTTATCGTCAATATAATATCACATTTTTATTATTATTATAGTATTTTGTATATGAAGATAGGATTTGGCAATGTTTTATTGTAAAATGAATGATATTGTTATGATTTGGTGAACTTTAAAAAGAAAAAAAATAGAATCTTAAAATAACAAGAAAAATCATATGTTAAAAAAAAAAAACAATTATTATTGTTTGTGTTTTTATTTATTTCAGATATATCTATGTTTATGCTGCAGCATTAACCTTCAAATCTTCTAATAAGCCATCTTTTAAATCAAAAACAAATCCATGAACTTGTATTTTATGTTTAGCAGATTTAACGAGATGATTTTCACTAATTTTTTCCACTTGTTTCACTACATTAGCTTTGACCAATTTATGTTGAACTTCGTCACTTCCGAAATGTGGATTAGAGAGAGAGAATTCACAGTTTACCGCCTCCAATTCACGTATTCCTTCCAACCATTTTATTAGATTAGGATCAAGTTCTTGATTAAAACAATTGTTGGCCCCACCACAACCTGTATGACCTAAAGATGGATAAAAAAAGATTTTATTTATTTGTCATTTTCATTATTTAAAAGTAGAATCGAATGATATTTTAAACTAAAATTTTTTATTATTTGTTTATTTACCACAAACAACAATGTGAGAAACTTTCAGAACTTTGACAGCATATTCTAACACTGACATGCAATTGGTGTCATCGGGTTTGAATTGATTTGCTACGTTACGATGCACAAATAATTCGCCAAATCCTGACTGAGTAATGAGTTCAGGTGAAACACGAGAATCAGCACATCCTATATAATGAATGAATGAATACCAGTAGATACTATTTTTATACAACTGTTGTAAAAATAAATTTAAACTTTACCAATCCAAAGAACTTCGGGGTGTTGTGTTTTAAGTTTGTCAAATAATTCTTTATCATTCTTATTTTTATCTTTTGACCATTTTTTGTTATTTTCAAGTAATTCGTTAATTTTGTTATCGCCTTTATTTTATTATTAAAGGTAGAAGAGTAGGATAAATTATGAATATTAGTTTGTAATCGTTATTAAGGAAAGTGAACAAACATTATTAAGAAAAATCTTTTATTTTAATTGAATAGTAGAATAATAAGATATATTATCTCATACCCATGATTTTTATTATCGTTAAATTTTTTTTTTGAATTAATTTAAAGAGATTTTTTGTGTCCCTTTTATATGAAAACTTTTATCTGATAGTATCAATATGGGGTCAAACTGTCTATTATATCTTTATCAGATTTTTTATTAATATCCTTTTTATCTTGCCAAGTTAAACTTTTATATTTGTGTGAAACCTCCAATTTTCGAGCACGGCTTTTACGCTTTAACTTTTTTGTTAGGATCTATTGGTTAGATAATAATAATAATAATAAAGGTTTTCGAATAAAATAAATTAGGGCAAGGCTTACTCTTAATATCAACAACTTTTCTTGGCAACAGACCCAATAAAGAAAAGATGCAAGCACTAAATTTTACACAATAAACAACTATGGAATTTCGAATATTAATTTTCTTCATTTCCCGTCTCTTATTAGATTAGTTGGATTTCAATTTCAACAATTAATGGTAAGAATTTAAATTACAAGTAGCGCCAATTTCTAAATAACAAGATTATCATTCCTCACTAAACCAATATCGGTGATGTGTTATATCATCAACATATAAATTAATTCTCTGTATTTCCAAGGTTTAACATGTTCAATGTAAAAATGGGATATTTTTTAGAATTTTAATTTTTTCTACCAACTACATATTTATAAATTCATCGAGTTAGCACGGGGAGATTTTCTAAATCCAAATTTTTTAGCAAAACGTGTGGGACTATCTATAGGATACACATTGATTGATATTGTACATGGTATTCAGGGCCTGGAATTATTTAACATGGTGGAACCATATGTTTTTAGAGAATTAAAAATCAATCGTCACGATTGCTTTCCAATTTTATGCTGAATACTTTTGTCATAATAAATTAATTGTATACAAATTGACTTGATGTAAATAAATTAAAACGAATTAATTCAATAGTTATTTACAATGTGTGTGTGTGTGTGTGTGTGTGTGTGTATATACTATTAATTAAAATTACTAGATAAAAAAAAGGTTGTTATTCTTTAGCTGGTAATTCTGTATTGGTAACTATGCCACTATCTCGTTTTTCTCTTTTTGCGATATTTGTAGGCTTTGCTACATAAACTTCCAACACATTACGAAGATTTTTTATAAATCCTGTGTCAATGTCTACAAGCTGTACAAGTTCGACAGTGTGTAATTTCTCTTTAATTGCAATAAAATGTAATGTAACAGATTCACACGTTGAAGGATTAAGTGGTCTAAAAAAAAAACACCCATTAAAATGAAATAATTAAAAAAAGCTTTTTTTTACAATATTTTATAATGAAAAAAAATATATATATACCCAATTTTAACATTATTTTCTAAACAAACAATATCAGCATCAGGTGTTTCTGACTGTAAATATCTTTTTATAAATTCTAAATAATAATAATAATAATAATAATAATAATAATCATTAAAATAAATTTTGGTTCGAAATTAAATTAAAGTTTTTAATTCTAACCTGATTCTTCCATGTATGCTTCAATTTGACCATTTACATTATCGCCATTCACATTATTACCATTCATTAAAGTTTCAGATGAATTTGCAATTTTGGCTATTTTTGGAGAAAATGATCTTGTCACGCTATTATAATTAATATATATTTATGGAATATAAATAAAATCTTTAAATAATCTCAAAGCTTTCAAAATAATTATTAATTTAAATATCTTACACTTCGTTAGATCTTTTTTTGTTTGGAATCATAATATTAAATCTTCTAACATGATTTGACCTGTTAACTATAAATACGTGTATTGTGAATGTCTTTCCTACAACAGCTTTAGAGGTCACTGTAGGAAGGGAAAAAAATAATAATATAAACAAAAATTAAAAATTAAAATATAAACAATATATTAATAGCATATATATATATGTAAAAAATAAAATACAAATACCCAAAAATGAAACTATTACACCATTTCCTACATCCATTTCCATTGATTTTGCTATTGAGGAGGTTCTTGCACCATAATTAATATTCATTGAATCCGTGTCTGAAGTACTCTTATTATTTTTATTATGAGCATTTGTAGGTTCCATTCCCGAATAAAATGTTTTTAGAGTTGTTGGTGTCACTGATCCAGGCGGTGAAAATATTGTTGCACTTTTTGTTGAATTTGGAGACATTATTTGTCCAACTTTTGAATTCATTGACATCTTTCTTTGGTACTGATAATTTGGCGTTTGAGTTGGTGGTACAGAGTTATGATCCTGTCTTTTCATATTTGATAAATCTAATGTACAATTCCATCTAGACTCTATACTTTTACTTTTTACACTATCAATAATCGGCGACCCTTTAACAAAAATTGAGACATGACACGGTTGTGGTTCTTCAACAGGTTGATAATTGGAAGATGAATTCGAATAAACAGAAGCTACCGAATTATTTCGAGAATGCGAAGAAGTTCGAGGATTAGGTGCAGGGCAATATTGTGGCGAAAACTTTGGAAAACTTTGATCATCAAGAATCGTGATGCTGTAGAGAAATGTCAGTTGGTCGACAGGATGTAATAAAAATGGGAAATCATTCTATATACATACATACATAAATACATAAATTTTTTTCAATTAAGTATTAATTAAAAAAAAAAAATATAAATTAAAAAAATTGATATAAAATATGAAATAAATAAGTAAATAATCACTTTATCATCATTCAATCCTGTTTTAAATCTGCTAACATATCCTTGGGTAATGTTTACTTGGACACTTTCAACCAAGAATCCACTTCTTGCATCAGTATTATTATCTAGCTCAACAGACATCATTAATGTGTTATCTAACGGTGAAACGCTTGTAGTTCTCATTCGTACATTTAATGCAGATTTAACAGCCAAAACCTTTCTTATATTACGCCTCGAGTGTTGAGATGCTGAAGATGATTGATTTGTACCGTTTAATTTTGGTTCATTATAATATAGTTTAGAAATAGGAATCGATAAATCTTTATGTGAAGCTTCAAATGACGGGTCTTTGATTAGATAAATAAACAAATTTTTAATAAAAAAATAAATCAATTAAAAGAATTTTCGAATAACTCTTTTTTTTAATGATTTCTAACCATCTATTAAGCCCGAAAATAGATTAATCATTTCAAAATTTTCTATAGGGCTTAAATTTCCATCTAAACCTTTTCCTGTTTCTTTTGTAAACGAATCCGGTTTTAGTATTAAAGCTAAATTAAGAGCTACTGCTGGTGATTGAGCCCGTGTCTTCACATAGGCTAAATTAAATTTGTTTCCAAAAAAAAAAATATAAAGATAATAAATTTCAAATTTCAAAATTACTATTTACTATTATAAAAAAAATAAAGTCAAAATATCCCAGTTAATTCATCTTACCTACAGGAATCGTCAATGGTAAAATACAGGTCCAGCAATCATTTCTTTTAATTACCAAAAATTTATAATCCTTGGATTTTAAATTATATTGCCCAGAGTATATTATTGCGCCTTCATAAGGCTTATTAACTTTTTTGTCCATTGGTGGAGGTAAGGGAGTACCAGGAGTTGAGGGAGATGTTGCATTTGAATTAGTATTTGATTTGTTAGGCGGCAATCGATACACTGCTGGTGGATTTGGAATAGGAGCTGATAAAGTACTCGAGTCTATAATTGAAGCTTCAAGTAAAACGTCCATCTCTTGAAAATATTCTAATGCTTCTGATTTAGTTTTAAAACCAGCGTCAATTGGCAAAGTTACTATTATTAGAAAATCTAATAATTCATCTAAAATAAAACAAATTTTTAAATTATAGTAATAATTATTAATTATTAATTATTTAGAATTTTCTCATTAATTTTCTTTAAAACTACTCTTACCATAATATGTTTGAATTCTTGGTTTTGAATTGTAAATATTTTCAAACTTTTCCTCTAAGGATTCAATAATAGCATTGGGAATAATCAATTCCAGATTAGCTTCCTTAAATAAAACATCTCTTGGTTTTGACATAATGAACTTTTTTAAAAAGTATATCAAGGAAAAAAATTTTAAATTTTGAAACTGTAAGAGAACTCTTTTTTAATAAATGTGTGTATGTGTGTGTGACATGGGTAAACTTTATAAAACGATCTTCTTTTTGGAAAACGCGTGTATCCACCCCACAATTTAAAATTTAATTTCATTGGTTATACGAAAAATTATGTGGATTTTTCATTTGCAAGCAGGATGATAAAAAATTACAAAATATTGTAGTTCTAAAATAAATAAAAGAAAATTGTTGTTTTTTAATTATTAAAACTTGAAAAAGTTTCGCTGATTTTCAGATTTATTCAAGCAAAATACATCTATCTCGGCTTATCTGATGCAAATCCTTCACCGTTTAAAAAGTCGAAAGGATCTGGATTTTCTTGCACAGCCTGATGAACATGATAAGGAACAATGATCTTATTAACAAATTTAGAAATATTTATACTACTCAAGTCCAACGAAACATTATTTTCTATATAGTTTTGCAGTTCATCTTTCTTTTCCCTCATATAAATATTTAGGGTTTTGTTAATTAAATCTTTTAAGAATACTTTTGTCAGCTATTAATTAATTGATTTAAATTGTAAGTATTGGTAAAAATGAGTGATTTTAAAAGTTAAGATTTTTTTCAAAAAAACTCCCTTAAAATTTTATTAATACCTGAAATATTAAATTGCCAGATTCCAATCTTTGAGTTATACCATCATGAATATCATTACTCATAAATTCAATCTTACCATCCTGTGAATACAAAAATTTCGTTGCTAAAACACTATTCAATTTCAAATGATCAATAACTAACCATACCCAATCAATCCCTTGAGGATCAAGTAAATTATCAAACATATACCAATCATGTAAGTCAACATCCTGATTATTAGTTTTGTTATTATCAATATCCATAATAGTAGCTTTATGTATAAAATGGAATTTTTATTTTGATTATTCAAAAATATATAATGAGATTATTATTTTTTATTCTGAGAAAAGAACTTACTGTTATCGATTACAGCATCTAATTCATTTAAAATATCTTTTGCTGATGTTAAGCTACATAACTTTCTCTTTTTGGTTTTTAGAAAAGGCGGTCTTCGTCTACACTTGTATGTCGGTAACGACATGGTTTCTAATTTAGCGTTTTGTACGGATTCATGCCAAGATTCTGGATTGCCACAACTATTACAATACTTAATTAGTCTAAATGATGTTTTTATTACATTCAAATTTCTTTTATTTTCTTCTTTTGTTGGATTATGGTTTTCATTTAACATAGTGTAATTATTTGATGAGTTTAGTGCATCATAATATTGTTGTGATGCGGTTGAAGTACAGATAGTCGAACCACTAAAATATATGTTATGTAACTCAGAATCATGATCCATTGTATTTGGAAGACTTGATGACGATGATTTAAGTAGATTCAAAAAGGCTTGATTATTGGAATAACTAATTATTTCATCATTATTGAAGTTTGGTGATTGTCCTGATCTGTCAAACGATTCATATGCCATTTTGTTTTGAGTAGAGCATCCTTGTTCAAATATGGAAACCTTATTCCCTTGAGATTTTATTTGACTGAATTTAGTAATCCCTTTAGAATAAAAGCCGTCATTTTGATTTGATATCTCATCTAATCCAATATCTATTACTTTTTCAAACCTCTTAATAGTTTGCATTTAAAAATATTTTTTAAAGAATTTAATATGTTATTTTTATATATTATTTAAAACAAAGATAATTCTTATAATCTAAGCAGAGGCTATGAAAAATAAATTTAAATACCTTATTTTCACTAGACAATTTGTTAATGATTTTAATTATAAATAATTATATTGTTAAAATAATTAAAATAATAATAAAATTTTTCCAATAAATAAAAACTCCCAAAATAAATACCTTTTCAAAGAATTCGATAAATTTGCGTGTCTGTAGATTGTACGTAAGGACGATGGACTAGTGATAATTTTTGTTCTAGCAGGATGATCTAAAGGTATTATATCTTCATCCTATTAAAGAACAAACCCATTTTTTTTCATTAAAACAAATATAACACAATTATTAATAGCTATAATCAATGAAATGAGTAACTAAATAACCAACTAATTGACAAGCAAATAAGTTTTTTTAAGTTTGTAAAGATATATGTGTGCGAATGTGTATGTGTAAGATAAATACCACAGGAGTACCGCAGACTAAAAGTGCATCTTCATGACTCGCAAATTCTATTTGATGATAGCTGCGACAATGATTTAAAAATCCTTGTACGTTAATAAACTTGGAACGATTACATTTTGGACAAGATAATCTAAATATAAATAAATAAACAGAATGATAAATAAATAATAATAATAGTAATAATAAATAATAGTAATAACAATAAACCTGCCTGACATAGATGCCATCATTTCTTCTTGAATATAAATCACTAAATATATCATAATAATAATAATCGTTATCTCTTGTAGAATAAATTGTACGTTTGGATTGTCGGGTTGAAGGTGTAATTGATTTTGTTTCGATAGGAGTTGCCTTGTTTGAATTTGAAAAGTTTTCGTGATAATTAGGAGGTGCTTAATTGCAAATCGAATGATTAAAAAATAAATAAAATCAATGAATAGTTCTTCTTTTTAAAGCAAATGACAGTTTTTAAATATTAAGCATACATTCTAAAATACAATATTTTAAAGTTGATAGAAAATGTTGCGCCTTTTTTAATTCTGCTTCTATCTTTTGTTCCACTGCTTGTCTCCTTAAAATTTCAAGATCAAATTTTACATCAAGTTCTTTTAAAATTTTTTTATGAATTTCTTCAGCTATAATAATAATTTAAAAACGTTAAAAAATTTTTTTTTGCTTGAAACATTATATATATATATATATATATATATATATATATAGTTTTAACACCTTTTGAGTTGCAATTCCTTTGTTGAAAAACTGTATCATCAATAACGTCTGTGGTATTTATAGTATTCGCAATATTTGGAGAATTTGTATTAATCACTGTATCAAAAGCATTCACTTTATTTGAGGCAAGTTCGTCTGAAGAATCCGTTGTAGTGTTACCAACACTAGTAATTTCTTTCACTAAATCTTCAATTTGATTCATTTTTTTTTGAAAATTTTTATTTTATATTTCAGATGTGATTTTATACTAGTTCTTCCAGATTTAACACGTGACCTTGCTCTTATCACTATTTCATGTAATTGATCGATTATTTTACGCGTTTCAAAATTAGTGTAGTACCTGATTTGGTTGCGAGGTGTATTAAGATAATTGCCTTGTTGATAGGAAATGCTTTAAACAGTTTACACTTATATGGGCATTGGAGGGTGTCATGCTGGGTAGATCAACAAATCTATGTAATGTCACATGGGACTGTCTCCAGCATAATGGACATTCGTTTATCGCATAGTGACAAAATTGAATGTATATCTTTTTCATGCTGTGCAACAGCGTATTTTCAATTGTTTTAAAATAGAAAAGGCTGGTTATAACACAAGTGATTAAAAACTACTTGTAAAATGATGATGTTTTGCTTGAATATACTTTTCGTTAGTTAAAAGGCTTGGGCAGAAAAGATCAAGGGAGATCATTGATTTTGAAGGATTTCAATATGTACCGATTTTTTTCAATTTTATAAACATAATTTTATACAAAAAATAAAAAAAATATTTATTAATCTTGAAAGGTAATCCTCAAAGAAAAACAAAACTAGATTATAAACTAATATATAGACAGGTAAAGAAATAATATATATAACACACACACATATACACACACATATATAAACTATTATTAAAACAACTATTTTTTATTATTATTTCAAAGATGACAATTCTCAAAGAAAAACAAAACTGGATTATAAAATAAGGGAGTACCTAAATACAGAAGGGTACTTTTTTTGAGATATACAGTACCTTCTAAATTAGTATAGTTGGCTTGGTCTAAAGACCTCCTAAATTTTAGGCAAATTTTAAAAGTATAGAAGTCACTTTCTGTCCTACCTTTTAAAAAAATAGCTCTATTAGTTGATAGAATATGTCTTTAGTTTTAATGTAATAGAGAGATTTTCTCAAAAAAATTATTTGTTGTAGAGTTCTATTCTTTTTTAAAACATGTACTTTACTATGATCATTTCTAAATTTAGGAAAAGTATTACCAAATTTAAACCAGATCTTGACTATCGTATCTAAATTTGGCAGTAAGAAAACCAAAATCACGTGAAGTCCTATTTTTGAAAAATCTTATTATATAGAACAATCAAAATTAAACAAAGAAAATAACAATGAACACAACGAATCATTACTTAACAAATCTTCTTTTTCTTCTTCCGCACCATCCATTAATGAAAATTTGTTATTAGTAGATCATGATCCAGATTCTGGCGATAACAATAATACAGATGATGAAAATCCAAATAGCATGGATATAGATAGTGATGCTGAAGAAACTCTGCTCTTTGAATCGAATGAAAACAATGACTATAGCTCAGCGATCAAAAAAAGAGCAAAAGAATTTATGAAACTTTACAGTCAATGTAATATCAATATATTAAATAAAAACAAAAAATGTTTTTTGATCTTTTATATTAATTTGTTTGTTATTTTTATTTAATTTAATATAGGGTACGGGGAAGCAGAAAAAATCGCCCAAAAGCGCTTTACAATTTAACAATGTATTACCATAATCACCTTGTCGTACCATTAAAATCTATCAAAAATTCGGAAGTGTCAATAAAATACAAAAACAAAATGGTAAAGTCAAAAATTCAAAATTGAAAATTTTTCGAGTGTCATAAAAGAATTTGGATACCACCAAATATTCAAGGGCCCAACAATAGAAGTCAAACAAATTCGTAAAGTCATTAATGTTTTAATAAGATCGAAAACAATCATTGAAAAAATTGGTAAAGAAAATATATTCTAGCAGGAACGTCATCATCAGCCTTAATGACTATGAATAAGGAACATTGGTCAAGATTCTTAAGCAAACTTGAGGAAACAATCGAAACAACTAATCACATGGACGTTTAATAATAATATGGTATAAAGTACTCAAAATTTTTGATTAAAAGACCACCATTAATCAAATTGATTATGGTGCGCGAAGTCTATAACCACCATTTACTGTGCCACACTGCCAAATTTCACCAAAAACTCAAAAACCAAAA